TTTGAGAATGAGCACATTTGTCTATTCAGACCTGATGAGTTATAAATGCAGTGCGAGTTGTTGGTGTAGTGGCAAAACATTTGCCTCGGTTGTCAGTTGCCTTTAAATCAATTTCGTACGGTTTCGCACTGCTAGCGTGCTCCGGTACGAGAAAAACTTGAGGCCGATTTCCCCTATTTGGTTGTGGGAAGAAAGCCTATTTCCAACGTAAGCATGAGCCATTCGGTTCGTCGAATAACGGACAAGCTCACTTCGGGAATAACGGCCGCAAATTCCGTTTAGTAGCAAACAATATACACGAGATGTGTGATGTCTAGACCAAAAACTAACTCAGCCAAATAAGAATGAGTTATTTGTCGGAAGCATTTTGGCATCAATCCCTCACAGTTACCTCAAACAAATTAGATTTTCTTCCGAAAACAAGACTCTCAAGATAGGCCAAAATGATCCTTCTCTAATGAAGGTTCTTGCTCGGAAGAAATTTCGTATTCTTCAGGATCTTGGACCTCTTTGAAAGCCAATTGTTCTCTTCACAGGTGATTGAACACCACATCTATAAGGAGAGCTCATGATCATGTGCATAAGAATGACGTTTAACGTTTCCCAGTGTGAGTAAGCTACCCCTAGTATGTGGGTTGTATTCTGACTGTGGTTGTACTGCCACCTGATGTGATTAGCTAGCTACCTAATTTTGACCTGAGGTCCGCTCTACACAGGGAGAAATTCCGCTGTGCTTTCTATTAATGCAACTTCTTGGGTGGTTGTTTTACGCTGACGATCTTCTAGCCACTCACTTGTCTGGACCTTTGTTCATATATACTGTTGCTTTTCAGTCCGAAATTAAGCATTCTGAGTCTACTTTCCTCCATCAAAATAAACTTACCACTTGGACACCCCGAACATGTTGTGATGATACTTTTCTGTAGGGGCTGTTTTTTGCTTTCCCATTCGAGGGAGAACGTCTCATCAGCTATACTCATGCATACTTGAACAGTAAGTGCTTAAAACGACTCTAGGTACTTTGAGCCCGTCTCTCTCATTTCCTGAGCTACCTAAACGGTGTCAAAAGTTGTTTTTGACTGTAGCTTTCAAAATATGTTCTTCGGAGATTTATACACGCATGAAATTGTATTGTGGTACTGGCATATCGCACCAAATGAACCAGGAGGCGGCCTGATTCAACACATTCCTTGTACAGAACTTTATTCATCCTTTTTCTAGCATCTTGAGAAAGTCAAGACCCAAGTTCAGTCGGAATTTTCACATATGTGATTTATGATTTTGTCTCCTGCTTCACAACCGATGATCGTCTCTCGTTTTTGCAACCATACGACTCTATCCTGTCAGGCAAATTGAATCTGTCATCGTCCATCCGTCCTTGAAAGAACAAAGCGTGTCCCATTTGTCTTACCACACACAGGACAAAAAATTTCTTGCAACTCTGCAACAATTCTGATAAAAAGCGGATAGCCATACAGACAGCAACCGACTGATAAAAAATAGTAACCTCACTGAGCAGTAGTCTTCATGCGTGGATCTTCTTACACTGCTAAAAATGAACAGACTTTACGCTGCCTGACACCCCCGTTTCCAACCTCATTTTATCATTTTCATGAGCAAAACATTGATGCTTTCCACCTCAAGCAGAGCGTCGACTATTTAATGCCTGACAGGTTAGTCTATGAATCAACGCAACCCGTTTCTTTTCTTGAGCACTAATATACTATGTTCAGTACACCGGCGTGTACAAAAGGGTCCATCTTATTATAAATTTGACTAAACCTTTGATTAAAAGTTTCTCATTATTATTTTACTAATTTTTGGATCTTATTTTCAGTCATATTATGCTTGAGAACTATTTAGGGGATAGGAAGTGGCTAGGCTCTCGCATGTTCGAACTTCCATCCTGGTCGCATACATTACGGATGGGATCTGAAAGTGCTGGTATACCCCCAGTGCTTTTAGTTGGTGACTATGAACATGCAAAAATGATCTATGTTCGGGTGTACTGTTTTTATTGACACGGAATGCGTGACACTTTATTGTGCGTGGATGACCCGTGAAACTTCAATGCCAGCGTGAAATACGTGGTCCATGAACTGAGACTTTATAGATAAGTGTGACTTTTGAATGTCCATATAGCCAGCCCCTTACTTAACCCTTAGTCGGTACATAAGTGACTCAAGTGACCAAACCGCTTTGCTGTGAACATGAACTGTACATAACTCAATTTAGGTGTTTATTTGTTTTTTTTTAATTGAAATCGCTGTCTGAGTGCTAACTGGAAGCTTTTTGGGGTTTACCTAGGGCTGACAATGTACGTACGCCCACCCAAGGTTGAATCAAGTTAGTAGGCTTAACCTCTGGAGTGCTGCTCTGCAGAGACTATCAGTAAGTAATATCCTACCTATTAGGTCCTCAGTGGTTTTAGTCGTTTCAATGTTTATGTGAATAAAGCGAGTCCTGTAAGAGAGTATGTCGACAAGTCAACAATTTACCTTACAAAGTGACAGAACATCTGTCGTTCAGGCGATCTAAGGCTGACTGGATAGAGTTGATCCACGATTCCTGTCAGCAAACCTGGCAAACTCCGATTAAACAAAAACCAGAATGAACTAGATAATATCGGTATTTGGGTGGAGGAACATTCTGTGAAGCTCGATGAACAAGTCACAAACTAATAAATCCAACCAAACAATCATTGGTACGCAACAACTTTAAATGGAAAACCGAATTCACTAGCAGTCGTGTCAGTCATCCCTAGGCAAATGTTTTGGATGAGTCCTAGTGGTTATTTTTCGTTTTTTCTGAGTAGGCTAATAAGAGACCCCTCCCTTTTCCAAGTTGCATCTTCTTTACACATCAGAAGTTTCCTCAACTAGTGGGATTAATGCATCTAAGGTCTGCATGCTTAGATGGAAATGTGGTAATGGGTGTCTTCCGGTAAAACGTACATGGCTCTATTTGGGAAGGTGTAGCAGTACACTGAAAATAAGGCAGACTGACGGGTGAAGCCAATATCTCGATGATTAAAAAGTAACTGTTGCCCGTGCCATTGTAATACCATGTGATGGCTCTGAACATTCGTCTGCCGATCTTTCCTACTCGTGTCCACGTCAGTGCCAAGGGTAAGCACCACTTTCGTTTCTGCACAAACTGTCTGTAGATCTTCTATTCACATACAATTTGGGTTCAGAGAGAACGCACATTTAACGGAAACTCAGAGGCTGGGCCTATCTGATGAGAAAAGGGCAAAATTGGCCGTGGGCTGTTAGAGGGTTTCCAGTAACTTTATGAGTATTATGTTACGTTTGGTCGGCGTAAAGTTGAATTCAATTGAAGCCTTTATTGGGACCACAGTCCTTGTGGGCCTCATGCGTCAGATTTCTAAGGTTTTAATGAACACTGTTTCGCAATACGGCTCAATACCATGTACGTCTTCTAGCTGAGCCAGCGGGGTTGGCTTTGGATCCGATCGCTTTGCGTCCCATGCACTTCTGTCTCCGGAAGAACTTGTGTGTTCTCGATGCAGGTAGTTCAACAAGTGCACACAAGTTTTCGCAGAATGTACGGGTGTATTGGGTCGTGAAGCTAGATGTTATATTGTCAAACATACATTTACAGGAATGTTACAAAAGTAAACATCCACTTGACTGAGTCGAAATCCCCACGAACTGGAAGTCTGCGATGGCACATATGCACATGTACTTTGCCTTTAAAAGCTTTAGCGAGGGGTACCACCTCAAATTCCACTTTTATCATACGTATAGAATAAGCGGCCACTGCAACATTCTGGTGACGAGTCTTTAGCTGCAGTTATTAGTCTGGTTGATAAATAAAGCATGCTTAATTTCAGTCAGAAGTGTGGCAAATTACTTGCAACTATCAACCCTCAGAGTTCGTTTGCCCAGCCTCACCAGAAAACTGAGCATTCGAATGTTTACTCTTTGATTGTTTGACCACACTTATTCTCCCAGCAAGGTTGGAGTAATGTGCCAACATACAATCGTTAAGCTGCTAACGAGCGGTTGTAAATGGATAATTTTGTTCTGAAGCTGCATTGCCTTGTTTGATCTGCATAGCCCTGTTAAAATTCCGTGCAACAGAAATGGAGGTACTGTTTTCAGCGTGTCAGAATACTGACAGCTCAAATGCGTCATCATCATCATCATCGACAGCATGACATCAGTGTTCAACACCGATGCTTCACTGCCGTACTTTGCACGAGGGCTGGAATACTGTCAGGGCGCCCACACCTAGACAGGAAATGCGTCAGTTGGTTGTTAAACTGTACGCCAAGTTCGATCATTTTTTTGTCACCATTCGAGCAGACATCGCTAGCACATGCACCGACAATGTCTCCGTGCACAGTAACGAAGCATTTCCAAGCCGATTTCCATGCTCGGTGGATACACACACTATCCCAGTGTTGTTGCTGTTGTTATCTGAGGATTAGTACATTTCCCAAACAGCTTTTAAAGACTTCATTCTGTTCATTCAGTGCCAGGAAGAACGGGATTATTATTTCAGTGCACTGATAGCCTGTGGTTTCCTTTACAGCAGACAAACACCGCATCCAAAATATCGAGCCTGGTGGTGTTCAGGTGTTGCAAAATATACACTTACCTGGAAGTATCTAAGACTAGCTGTCGCACAAAGTCCACGCGTCAGCATAGCCCTTTTGTTTGCGGTCGTTTCCGCCACAGAAACAATTTTCAAATCCTGAAGTCTTTGTTGGCCTCATCGGCATCCCATTCTCCAGTCGGAATATTTGCAATACGACCGGTAAAGGACATCGAGATATTGAAAGTGGATGAATATAATAGTCCCAATGTTTCAACCTGCATTCACCGGAGCTGATCTAAGGGACTTGATTAGCTGAGCTTACAAACCTGGTGATACCTATGTGAAGGAAATAAACCCGGGATGCTGGTCACATGCTGGCCAGGATGCCGGCCATTATTTCGCTTACAGAGAACGAAACACGCAAGAAACTTAAACCCAAGCAATGGAAATTTATTTCGACGATAAATCTCAAACACCAAAAAATTAATGCTGGTGAATGTGACCAAGCCTCGATGACAGTAGTAGTAGTTGTTGTAAAAAACGAACCGTGAAATCTCTGTGAACAATGGTGTGAATTCTTCCACCAAACACAAAAATGATTAGAAAGTGGAGGGAGGGTGACAAGTGTTCATACCAGACCGCGGACAGTTAATTCATCTGAAATATGATTGGCAATGACCGTGAAGGGTGTTCGGGCTTGACCGCAACTGTCTATACCGTCTCGCCTTCTCCTTTCCGTAAAGCTTGCACAACACAGATGGCAAACGTCATACAGATGAGTTGAATTAGTGCAAAAATGAAGACGCACACGCCGATTGCAACCATATTTTCCTGGATGAACTCTTCGACTTTCGGAACACAGCCCTGGAAAAGCGGGCAAAAATTAGCCGATAAGTAGAATGAAACACACTTAATTCATCGAATTTAAAGGCGTGTAGCGTGTTTAAAACACATTTGGTGAAATACTTTGCTGAGTAGAATTTAACCAACGAGTACGTACGTGCTCCAAAAATTCCAGAGCAAGGCATTTTTCCTTCCAGTGGGAAATTTATCCCATCGCCCCGTACTTAACATCAATTTTTATAGTCAAAAGTTTGCCAGTAACGGAAAGAGGTCCCAAAGGTTGCATGAGAGGTCGCACCCTCACCGGGACGTTTGTCTTTGACAAAACTGCAGATGTTCTGGACTTTCGAAAGAATGATGCAGAAATCAATGTAAGCACAATCGCTTTTGGAGGTTAATTTAAGATCAGTACAGCCTCTTTCCGTGTGGAATTGCCTTTACAGGATAATTTGTTCTCGGTTGACAATGCCTACCCGTCACATTCGTTGCCGACTAGAAAGGCCTCCATAACGTCCAATATTTCACACTGATCGCCTCTAAGGACCCGTAATTTCTATTGCTTCATGTGAAATTGATTGGATGACAAAACTGCCACATTCTGGCGGAGGACTGCAGAATAAGTGATCGAGAGTTAGGTAGCCCATTTGAACCTTATACTTCAAAATCGCACAGTGAATGAATCAATGAATTCACGCTCACAGAATACTATTAATGTCACTTGCCTCAACATCCGAGAGCCTTTAATTCAAGGACAATTGCCAAAGACATACGAATCAAATTCACGGAAGACAAACCATGACGTGTGCCGAGCTGCTCAGTAGAATACCAAAGGAATACGCATATCTTGGGGTCGTTCATCGCTATTCATGATGTATACTATCAAATTAATTTGCTATGGAAACGTGAGAACACAGCATTCTTCGAAAATTGAAAATCAGTCAAACACCGGCTCCACTTGTTGGAACGAAGATTTCTGATAGATGATAGGTTGCGCATCAAATGTTGGGAGATACTTAACGACTATGTAGACAAAGCTTGCTTCAGCAAAATACGTTTTTCTCAACAAGACAACTCACGCTGTTTCTCTTGCATCACCATTTGTTTAGGTGAAAAGAAACGGAAAAGTAAGGATCGCCTTTGTCTGTGCTGACGTATTTGGAGGAAACGCCACATGAATGTCTTTTACACGACCCAGTTTTAATTAGTAAGCTCATAGGTGCTCTACTCCGGTTTCCTGAAAAAAGTAGTAACTGGTCCAGCCAATATTTAGGAATTTCTTGCACGTTTATGTCACAAAATTGGACACGCGGGCTCTACGTTTTTTCATGCTTGGATCTAAGTACACCGACTAATTCGTCCGTTATATTCGAAGCCGAAACTCATCTTTTTGGTGCAACCTGCCCACCATTGTCCACCAGTCAAGCTCTGATTTTACTCCGGTCCTTGGAAGAAGCAGCAATCGTACTTATCAGTAACTTCCGTGTAGATTGCTGCACAATTTTTAGGCTGAGTTTTAAGTTGTAAATGAGCTTATACATATGGTAAGCACCGGTTGTTTTCGCCTTGCTACCTACCTTGGGTAGCAAAGGAGTTCCACCAGCGCAAAAGGTACTAGTGAGGCGGCCAAACCCAAAGATCATGACTTGAAACAAGAGACATTGCCCCACAGGGTCCTTCCTGGTGTGTAGAAGTTGACTGTCCCACAAAGAAGATTACAATGGCATGTTGCAATACAAGCCAATAGGAGAGAAAGTAGACCAATTTACACCATCATACCGTCTGATTAGTAATATAGCACTACTTCACTTCTCTATCAAGAAGCTACTGCTCGACATCAGTTAAGATGCGAAACTAGAGCCCGGAGAGTTTGAAATCTGGAGGAATAAGAATCATTTATTATCTGAATTATTCCGCTTCAAAAATGGAGATGTACGAACCCCACGTGTTTTCACATGCAGTCTGATTAAGTTGTTAGGCTATTGACTATCTTGAAAGTGTCCAAAACTAACTAATTACTTCGCTAATTGTAGACCTAAGTTGCATTAACGGCCGCTGTTCCATCTACTAAGTTATCGAGGCATGTTTTTCAAGAATGGTGTTTATCTGTTGGCTGTATTTTGCTGTGGACAGGTCTCAACATAATCTTGCACTACAATGGTGATAACTCATCCCATTGATCAATGTTTTTATCAGTAGTGTGGACCCTATTAACGAATGCAACGATGCGTATCATTGGCGACTTGTGCCCCACTGGCGTCTCTTCCAGAGATTTTCCGTATCTCACTTCGAAAAAAGTCGCTTTGGCTCAAAGAACTCACACTTCTGAAGCCCGATGCAGACATTTCGCTGGTAATGTCCGCAACTCTGTTGGAAAACCCAGAGGTCATTTGGGAGTTGAAGAAATCTGCCACAACGATCAAGGATGCCACGGTTGAGCGCATTGCGGAAAAGCTACTCAACTAATGTTCTTCTTGGGGAAAGGCGTTTAGGGCATTAGCTTGTTTGAGAGTTTGAGAATTACTTGGTCATTATCATATGCAACTAAACGAGAGCCGCTCAGTTAAGCCAGCTGACTATAGGGAGGACATGTAGTGCCGCTCCTTTTGGTCCAAAAAGAGTACTTGTCTAACGAAACAACTTCTCCTAGTGAATGATCTAAATAGGAATCCTGTCACCTTGCCAAAAGAATATCACATGGCCAAAGTGAACACCAGTAGCTGTAAGGCCAAATGGGACTGACTGACAGGCTCATGTCGATATTAATAAAGTCTTGGATTCTGAAGGTGTTATAAAATGAAGGGACGTAGAATGTGGCGCACACTTGGAATTGCCGTGTGCACAGATGACTGTGCTATTGCTAAAGGTTGGAGTCAGCCGACATTTCCCCATTTCAGCTCCTGTGGACTGTGATTATGCAGATGGATGACACTATTAAGAGAGGTTTAGTTATCTTCTACTTTCTTGATATGGCGCGCCTTGCATACTGAGATGGCCCATTCGCTTACCATAGGCTCATTTATTGTTGCTTTCGTATTTCTTTCCTGGATATTCAGGTATTCCAGAGAAACAAAAAGAGATGACTGGTGCTCCAGTACCTTACAACAATGATAATTCATTTGCATGAGAACCCTTTGTGAAAAACGAAATCGTGGAACAAGGAGGGGAGCTACAGCTAGCTTGATACACAAATTCAAGTTGTTTATACTTCTGACACGTAGTCAAAAAATCTAGGCAGAAGCCGACAACAAATGGCTGCATTATCGTCTTTAGCCAAGCATATAGGTTGAGCATGGCTGTCCTTAAAGCCAAGGGGAACCAGCAGCGCTCAGACGTTATGTAATATCCTCCATTCGAAAACTTCAAAATCAGACGGAGATGGGTGACACAGAAGTACCATTGGAAGTTTAGTGACTTAGTGCTGATGAGTGTGCGGTTTAAAGAAGTGATAGCAGGGGTATTCCAAGGGAGAGAAGGACGAGTTCATCAAGTAGCGGTCTGGAATTTTGAAGGAATATTAGCAAGCAAGATAAGGAAATTTCGTTCGTTAGAATGTGATGACTAGTTGTCTTGCACTAGTTCCTTTATTGCCACATGGTTCTTTGAGGAGATATATTTGGTGCAAACAAAGACAAACTCTACACTGTGGTTTAAGGGGCAGGTGTAAACCTTGCTATGTGTGGCAGTTATTGCCTTCTGGAAGGGTATGTTGATTCATGGGTTTATCTCTCGCTTCACCTAGTCGTCGCAAACTCCTTCATACAGACCCGTTAAGCCAAATAGCAGCCTTACTCACGTTGGCGCGTTGTTCTTGATTATATTATTTAATTTTGTGGCTGTGTTCTATTTGATCAACTCTACTCGTTTTACATTCCAAATACCTTAAAACTTAAGTCACATTCGACAATCTCCTCACTTTTATTCACTTTTCTATCCTAACATCCCATCATACACTGTTCCACATTTGTTTTCTAAGGCTGATATTGAGTTAGTAATCATGGACATTTTAAACTTTGCGTCAACTCGAGGCGCGTGGCACAAACAGAGTCTATACCCATGTTGACTGGATGAGTAGCCGTACGCTTTGGGTTTCATTGAACTTATAAGCAGAGGTATATCCTGTGTTATGCTTGAGTCTGTTTCTTTTTTAGGAACCCAAGGTCTGTTTAGATTCTATCAAATGTCGCTTTGATCTTCACAAGCTTATTTATTGTGGGGTGATTACTGTAGTAACTGAATAAGGCAGGACATACTTGTGTTTTCCATCCGGGTTTAGACCATCAGAATAGCAATCACGTTAAAAGCCTGTTCGTCGTAGTTAAGGATGACATCAAAGTTGCTAGCTAAATCTGTCTTTCCCGAATTTAGAGGGACATTTCAAAGAGTACTGAGTATCAGCGGAACACTCAGACTTCCAAAAATGATCTCGCCAGAAGGCCATATAATTTCAAAAAAATAGTGTTAATTCCTCGCCAGCCACAGTCCAGTATGAAGAATTTCTCAGAATAAGCGATGTTTCTGAGTAAAAATGCTGTCGATCTCAGGTGGCGTCTTCTTTGTAATTTGTTCCGTGGGGAAAAACATGCCAGATGCTTTCACCAGTGATGCATAAGACTTTAAACGTATTCGCGTCCATTGGTTCGAGGCCCTGGAGGACACGTTTAATTTTAAAACCATTCACATACATCATTATCACAACATACATTCATCATATGTAAACCGAAGTGACCCATCTGAGAATAAGCAGATACTGTACGAAATAGAGTTGACACTTTTGGCTGGCATAAAGTTTAAGCGAGGTTTCAAATCGTATGCGATGAACCATTTCTCACATTCCTATAGTGTGTTTCTACGAATACCAAGGAACAAGAAAACGATGCCCGGTATGAGAAGTACTCCTCGTCAAAAGTAGTTATCTCCGAGAATACCTCCATTTTTGAAAGACGACAGGCCTTGGTTGAAGGATATTATTTGCAACAGAGGTTTAGTGTTTATGTATTTAATGGGAATTACGTTCAGTGGGGTCTGTCAGAGGAATATAAACGCCTGTATATTCTGATTCAGGTATACTCATCAGTCTTCTTTGATAAGAAATCAGCCAAACTAAGTGGGCCCATCAGAGTTGAAATCATGACATAAGCAATCTAATTTTTTATGCGCTTTCATAAACAACAAATACAGAGAGGAGCTTGGTTGCCCATATGTTTGTAAAGGACAGACATGTTCATTTTCGTCTGTCACATCCTATCATGCTGTGACACCTCCACGTCGATACCCAGCTTCACGTTGCACTGGTGATGACGATGGACTACCTTTCCCTCCCGCCAGAAAATATGGAACATTTTGCCTTTGATTTTGGGTGAAAAAAGACCACCTTCATTAACTCTGAATCCGGCGTAGTTGGATTACAGTGTAGAAAGGAGATGGCCAGCTGCCCGATTGGTTCCCATAAGTGATCAGTGAATTAATTGTAGTAGGTAAACTTACCAAATGGCAGTTAAGGCCTGGTGATTCTTGCCTCATCCCAATCCAGAATTTTCTAGTGTGTTTACCCAAGGAGTATTAGTGGCCCATAGATATATTGGATATGGTTGGTGTTGCAATACATTACAGTACGAGGTCAGATGCCATCATAGTGTGTGGTACTGAAAACACTGATTATCCAGGATGCGGTTTGCATTAGCTGTTCTCTACGAATTTAACACTGTAAGACCCCATTACCCTACGATTCACCTTTTGTGAATACTTTATCCGTTTCGTCATAGCAGCTTATATTTTCACTCGCTTCTGGTCTGTGGATGATTCCGTGACTGACCAAATATGGCAACTTCGACGTTACAGATTGCTAAACCTTTGATGTTTGACAAGTAATTCGTTATAAACACCGCTGTGCCGACAAAATTGGCTCAACTATCACAGTGTGGCCACTATTGCATGTCTTCAGTGCGTCTAAAAAACAGATCATTTACTTCAGTCATTGCCGCATTCTTTTGTGGGTTGATATCCATAAAATATTGTGCTAGCGACTATAGAATGGCCTCCTCCTGTCCACACTTCGGTGTTTTTCTGGATGACCCGTTTGAGTGTTTGTAGGTAAATGCACTCTGTAATGCTGCCAACACACTAGAATGGGGGTCCTTCTGTATGCGCCGCCAGTGTCTTTTTTCATACCAAAGCTTCAGATATCAGTACACAAATTTTTGATTTCCCAGCATTGAAGCTCCTGCTATTGAACTTTGCCCGAAGAAAATTGATTTTTTCAAAGTTCTGATAAGGTGCTTTTGCAGGGCGAGGAAGCTATTAAATTTACGTGCTCCAGACTCCCTGGTTACACTTTACTTTGGCTTCGGAGAGTCGGTTTGTAACAGATTTTCCCTCGATTGCGAGTTTTCGTAAAATTCTGTGTGATTTACCAAATCATCCTTCATTACTACTTACCAAGTGTGTATGCTTGCTTTTCGCGTTTTTTAAACGTACATGGATAGCCATCCGAAACACATAGTTTGGAATGGTGCACGGCATTATGTTATTCATAGTCATGGAGCCCAAGCTTTACACAGCTGTCCGTCAGTGCAGCCTTAGACACATTGTCAGCCAGTCAGTTTGCCGGCTATAGCCCAGTTTCCTAGAGCATATTGGCTGAAACTGTTGCAGCATTCGGTCACCGTAAAGTGAAAGAGTACGGGCGATGTTATCAAGAAATGGAAATAATAGCGTAGCAAGTTAATTCACGTTGAGTAATTCTTATTGTCTGATGGAGTGCAACATTAAGCAGCTGTGCACTGAAAGCAATATCTTGGATGCAAGAGAGCCACTCACTGTGTGGTTAGCCCATGGCCGCCGTTGTCACCAGTCAATAGTGAGGTGAATTCCGGAGTCCATATCTACGGGGGAGAAGTCATCCACTCGATTAGTGCTTTCCTGCTTTGTCGCCAAGTCATGGACTGTCCGTTCTCTGTAGTTTCTTCTCAGCATACAGCTGAATAGGGGAACTCCGTAGGGTATACGGAATTTGGACGGGCCTATGAAGTTGTGTGGCCTATGCAACGTCCATATCTCACTCTTTGCTTGAGAGTACCGTCGTCCTGAGACTGTCCGGCGTATCTTAGCATTGTTAAACTGATGTCCTCATTAGTCCAGACCAACGCTTCGGGGGATACGACTGGTCAATTTCCAAGAGACTTTATACATGTGACTTTGAAGCCACAGTTTTGATTACACCGTCGGACAAACTTAAACCACGGTGGTGTCAAAATGTAATAGGATGGAAAAAGCTGCTCTCGTATTCCATCATCGAGGGGTGACTCCCGTCTCACTGGTTCATCGGTGCCGACACAACAACCCAGGTACGCAAATTATAATTGGGACTCCGTCTTGTCAGAAACGCCACCCTATCCTAAAAAGCCAATTAGCATTAAACGGCAATTTCATTCATACTGGGGACCATTAGTGGTGTGCACCCCACGAAACTCAAAGAGTTTATAACTTGCAATATTCCGGCTGGTGATTCAGCACTTAGTTGTGAGGTCCCAAACCGCTGAATATGTGTTATTGGCGCTCCTCATAAATTTATCCCCCGAGACGATTGGCTGGTCTGCAGGCAGGAGCTCTGAGTTTGATCACATCCAGTTTGATAGCAACGTCCTGTACCTTGCGGTTATGAGGCGAACAACAAGCCGTGGATTAAATCTGTTTGGGTCGTTTCAAATATGGCACACACTTGTATTATCTGGACCAACAACTTTGATTAATAGGCGCCGCCATTGTTTTGGAAGATCAAAAGAGTGAAAAAACGTCAGGTCAAGTAGACCCAACTCTGGACGTTTGAAGAATGATCATGTTTGCGGGTCCGTCACAAAATTAAGTTCACAAAAATTAAGTCACAAAATCAAGTTCAGTTGCTACTTCGCCAATGTGAAATCCAGACCTAACTTGGCGAAGTTATCCCCAACTCCGGTAATCTACCAACCTACCATCTTGAACGCTAAGGTTACCAAACTATTGCAATGACATGGCTTTCTTCGGCATTGTGAACATCGGAACGAGGTGGAAACAGTAAGATTGGCGGCTCATGATGATATCGACTGAACAGCACAGTAAACTATAAACGATAAGAACAGCTTACATCCTTGTAAACGACACCTTCTGGGCTGCGGCAAGATTCTGGTTCAGACCCCGGGTTCGCCCACGTTCCAGTCGCTCCACAGCATTTCAGCTAACGGTCGCGTGCGCAAAGATTACAACGAAAACGATAACCTCACCTCACTCTGGATCACGTTAATCAACTTTTGAACATCTTTGTTGGCACTATACTCTGTATACAGCACATCCAGATTGTGATTTACCAATCCGGGGATCTATAATAAGAGAATTAAGTTATACAGTTATATGTACAGCTCTCTACCCACCTTATCGCGGAGAACAAGGCCAATGATTCCACATACGACTTGTGCAACTGCCGTCACTCCAAGCAGTATAGCATACTATGATCATGTAAACTTGGAGGAAAACTAACTCACGGTAATGAGCATACAGACATTTTTCAGGCATGCTCCACAGAACCCCAAAAATCCTATTAAAAATGTGAGACATCCGAGACAAATGATGAAAATAACGATAATTTGGATGCTGGTTTCGTTAGATTCTCCGAAAGTCTTCAAAGAAACTTCGGCCAAACTCCCGACAACTATGAGGCCAACACCACATGCCTAAAATGCCAATTTGGACCAATTTGAACGAGGTAACTCACGATGACAAAAGTATTAAGGATGACAAGTATAATTTGAAGACAACGATATCCACAACTTAGCGAGACCATTACTACTGCTGTCGGAGGAGCGACTCAGAACAATGCGGTTTTTATTTTTAAATCGCCGCCGTTTGAGGTACTGGTATACCGATTGACCAAAACAACAAGACAAGGACTCCTAGACTTCTTATTTAACGGGTAAGCCTTGCTTTCGGAGTATGTCGTCAGGATTTCATACAGAAAGCTCTTAGCGGCACTGTGAAGTTTATGGCATTGCGGGTTGATAACTGGGTGCGATCGCCGAAGAAACGGTGTCATTCTGTCCCATGGATTTCACGGACTGATACACAGCACCGGGGCTCACACCCTAGCGCCCTGAGCCATGTCAGTTAATTTTTCAGTGGCTTCCGTTCACTCGAAAAGTACAAGCGAAGAATTTTCGTAGCACCACTCTTCTAATTCTCAGCGCGGAGTAGTAAGATTGCCAGCGCGAGTACTCCCAAAAAACATCTAAATGTGATTTGGACTGGGATTTAGGTGCTCCGTGAACGGTCGTCGGGGAAAACTATTTCACTAACCAACTACGTGAAATGAAAAATTGTTTCTGTTATGAAGTTGTGCGCTCAAAACTTGAAAAGCTGTTTACTACTTTCCGACGGAGAATCGGTGAAATAATTTTGGCCAAAGCCTGCCCAACAGGTACCCCTGGAGATGGTGGAACTCCAGAAAGAATATGTCCAGTGTGGCGTTTTGTACCTTTAGTTTGCTTCCACTATAACACTGCGCACTTCATCAATTGCATAATCGCTTTTTGTTTGAATACGAAAAACTACAAATACGCGCACATGTACAAATTCACAGAATACAAGCGTGGTCACGTGCTTCGACTCTCTCATCTGATTCCGCTCAGGCTTGCAGCGGTCATTCGCGAGCCTCATGTGCTAACTCTGAGATCAAAACGTTTCAGACCATTTTCGAAATCTATTATATGTGAGAGCCGTTCAGAAGAAGACCCCTGGAACACCATAATTGGATTATTGTTTCTGGGCCAACGACGAACTATTTTAAAGAGAACAATTGTTAGTAAGTCTGTTCCATCTGCCCTCTTTATTATGGTATACCCAACCTAGCATTATTATTTTGGTTTCTTTGCCACACACTCCTGGTAAACTAACTTATTGAGTAGTAAGGCCACTACACCAGCACCCCGAAATGCTTTTCATATTCAACAGATTTGAGGCCAGCAACTATGTGCGTGGCAGATCGGTGGACACGTTCAAGTCCTTCTGGCGTCTTTGGTAGACAACTTGGTTGGCGTAGTCAAAAAGTGGTCTTACGAAGGCCTCATATAGTATCTGTGGGTCCATTCAAGTAACACGCGAGAAGGTCCCCTGAATCACCCGTAGAATATCGAACACGTTTTGCACCGATTTTTTAGGTGAAGTGAGAGGGGAATTTTGAGGAGAGCCAAATATTTAAATCCTTTCGTTATCAGCCTTCCCAGGGTCCTGTGGTCCATTCTCACCACGCACGATAAAGGTGCTCACTAATTCTCCTCCGAATGATATAGGGACGCATGATTCGACAATCAGAAGAAGGCACCAGTATCGTAACCACTGCTTTGCAGCATCTACATACATTTGGGGGAGGCTGGTGCGGATCATCCGAACGCATACATTTGAAATCGCATTCGGTAGGTCGTGGACGTAGGTCAGAAACAGGAGTGTACACAAAACGGAGAATTGAGAGACTCCGATGGAGACAGGCTTCGAGGAGGAGTAGGTTGTGCCCGTATATACGTAATTCCTTACTCACAAGGTTGCTGAATGTTCTTTGACAGACTTCGACCGGTTTCGCCTTTCATGCGGCTCATCAAACAGTCGCAGTCGCCGAGCTTCCATCAACCGTATGTTCTACTTGAACGAAGTCAGCGAAATTCACTCATTTGCAAACAAATTTGGTTTTTCTAATCACCAAACTGGAACCCAGCTGAATCTTTAGTTGATGGTATTATCAAGCAGCTGAATGCGCTACACTAGGTCGACTCATTTTTGAGCCCCATTTCACTAAGACTTCCATATAGGTGGAGTGCTGCTGTTTTTTCACGAATTTTCCGGGGCCTTCACTTTTCGATGCCACGCGTCCAGCATCCGGAAGGCATTAATTTGATTGGGTTGATATCCTGATGGGATGGTCACAAACCGGTAGTTATGAAACCATCTTCCTCCAACCGTCATTCCACCATCACTGATGCTTCCCCCACTGGAATAGGAGCGATCCTTGAACGGTGTGGTAGACCAGTGATCTGCATTTCCCGTCGACTTTCAAAGGCCGGATGTAGGTATTCTCAGCCCCAACGAGAAGCACTTGCTGTATACTGGGCTGTGAAACGGCTCCATTAATATCTTTTTGGATCAAACTTCACCATTGCTACTGAGCACGGGGCTTTAAAGTTCTTGTGTCGTCCAACAAAATCTCAAGCGAAATCATTTGCCACTATGGCGCAACGGTGGATTGTTGCGCTGGGTTAGTACACCTACACAATTGTTCATCGTAGTGCAAAAATGACTTCTCACGCGGATTTCTTGTCGAGAATTTCATCATGCGACTCTGATTCAAGCAATTCACTTTGTTTATTGGTTCAACCATTACCAATCAAGCGGGATGCGCTTGTTGCTGATACAAAAGATACTTCGTTCCAATTTCTTCTGCACTGCAACATGGCTAGACGCAGCAAGAACGACGCCAATTTCCCGCTTTTTACTGTCGCTGTGAAATTTTGTCCGTTACTCCGGATGATTTGTTGTGTTTTGAGGATAGAGTTATCATCCTCTCGATTCAACGAGCGGCCGTTGTTGCAGACCTGCACTCTGATCATGAACGGTTGTCATGCTGGTGACCAGAACTGGATGCCGATATTGAGTACACTGCTAAGGTGTTAAGTATGTACATATGATTCATAACAAGTCTTCGCAGTGGTATCCGTGGCCAGTTACTTGTAAAGCATTTCAACGAGTTCATGCTGATACTGTGGTCTTTTTCTCGGTAAATGCTTTGCTTTAGTTATTATTGACGCATATTCACGTTGGTTTGAAGTTCACCTATATACGCCTCCAAGTGCCGAAATCACTCAGCAATCATTGAAAAAAGCGTTCAGTCGTGAAAGCGTACCAATTTTTGGTCACTGACAATGGCACACACTTCACTGCAAAATGCCTCCAAGAATGGTTAAATGATCTTGAATGTCAACATCTATTTACCGCTCCACGACATCCCCGGCCGAGTAGAACACTTCACTGCAAAATGCCTCCAGGAATGGTTAAATGATCTTGAATGTCAACATCTATTTACCGCTCCACGACATCCCCGGCCGAGTAGACTTGCTGAAAATTTTGTCCGAACACAGAAATCTGCCATTATTTCATTCTCTTCTACTAATTTTGTGGAATTGGACCGTTGAAATGATAATTACCAATGAACTACAAGAATGCCGTTCATTCCGTTACTGGGAAGAGTCCCACGCTTCCATTTGAATCTTGTTCGTTGCGTACACGTCTTGACCGTGCCAAAGCGGCTGATGTTACATTTTTCAAGGTTAACGATTCACGACCTGCTACAGGAATGGTACTTTTGTCAAATGGCGAACGGACTGTCACAACTCTCGATTAGGTTGACCTCTCTTTTCGTCGAAGACACATCGATCAGGTCAGGTTCAGTACCATAGGTTAGTCCTACTCCCACTCCTACTGTTTCAAATACTGAGTATTTTGTAGATGAACCTATGGTATCCGAACAAAACACATCTGAGGAACGCACAACCTTAGAAGAATATGAAGTTTCCACTCCGAGAAGATCCGAAAGACTGCGACCAAGACCACCATTGGATGCGATTAACATGATTGATACTCTATTCACTGCTCGATTCGTTATTCTCTTGTTTTAATATTCCATATGCTGTACATGCATGCCAATTCGAATACATACCTGCTGCTTGTTACGCTGTGCTATATTCTTGATTTCTAATTCGTCTGGCTATACCAACGTGCGTGCGGAACTTAATTCTCACGTTGTCTCCTGACGAATTTGTGGGTGTCTGTAACTCTGAGCTTCATGTATTTTCAGACGCGTCAGAAACGGTTATGGCGTTGCTGCATACGCACGTTTTGTGTCGAACAATGGTCGGGTGACACATCGTTTGATATTCGGAAAATCCAGAGTTGCTCCGGTCAAGGCAGTTACCGCTCCGAGGTTGGAAATTGCTGCCGCCGCATTAGCCCCCAGGGCTACAAGCCACTCGTTGAGTGCTTACCTAACTTTCCCGTGTCCGCTCTCTAAACGGGCTCACAAATAGTGCTTTATTGCATGGATAATTAGTCTGCGAGATTTTGTACCCTTGTGGCCAATCGGTTAGCCATGCAGAACAAACAGAAGCACGTTAAGTCATCACAAAACCTTACCAACCTAGCATTCAGGGGCGTTAAATGAGTGAACAGCTTGAGTTGCTGAATTTATGGACCAGAGTTTATCAACAAACTGAAGATTCCTGTGTCACCTTCAAGCCCTGATTGGATAATCGATAACGTAGGGCTGAAAACGACTCGGGCAACTGATAGCCTTATTTCTACTCAAAGTGTTACCGAGCGTTTTGTTGTCCGACGGTCTAGTTGGTTTAGGCTGTTAAAATCATTTGCGTGGTTGAGGCGCTTCATAGGCTACTTTATGAAGAAATTTGGAAGGTCTGTCGTCATGCCGATTGCTGGTCATCTACAAGCGAAAGAAGTGACGAAGCCCAAATCGTCGTTATCCGTCAGGTCCAAGCAGAGGCATACGGTAATGAGTTAAGTCGTTTAAAAACGGGCGCTCAATCGAAGCCGACTAGTGTCTCAGCGCTAGGTAAGCTCTGTTCCATCCATCTCGACGGTGCTACTTGCGTCGGTCGACAGCTCAAGTATTTCAGTTATTCGGTATCCATGACGCACCCTCCTATCTTACTTAATAAACACCCAGTTATTGATCTACTCATTCGACATTATCCTGAACCGGAACGTCGTTCCGGCGCTTCCCATATA